TGGGGCGGATGTATAGGAAACGGAAAATAGGGATGAAATTTGTATTAATGGACTCCATCCGGTCGACTATACCATACTTACGGTACCGTATCTACGCGAGTATATACATAGACACGCGTATAGACCGAACGTCGCTGGTTGTCGTGGGCGTCAACTCGCGATCGATGCGCCGCCGCGGCTATTCGGTGACGGCTAGGTAATGGTCGCCGGTCACGACACGGACGTGCACGACAACAACGTCCACCGGACTCAAAATATACAACGTTTATATATCCACGTACGATTTATATTAATATTCTTTGGCGGCGGCTTTCCAATGGAAAACGTACTGCGGACGCGTCACGTCAAAAATAGTGTCTTCGCGGGTCACGACATATCGTACGCATTTCTATAGCGCTCGTTTTCCAACCGCCTACCCCGTCCACGCATCACATCGCGGTGAGCAACAGCGACCCCGAAAAACGTTTCTGGGTTTTGCCGCACATACCCCGGACGCCGACCGGCGGCGGAGGGGAGGCAACAAGAACCGGTCGCCCGTCTTCGGTGTCACGATTTTTTGTTTCCATCGTACACCGCGCGGACAGCATGTTGGAGTCGTGGTACAAATTAAACGTTTTCCGTACGTGCACGTACAGAATGTGTGTCGTCCCGATACAGTAATTACAGTCGTCTAAACCGCCGGGGCGGTGTCTCTGGGGGTACGCCCGTAAATGTTTTTGTTTTTATTTAATCCTGAAATTATCTCCGTTATTACACTGTTATTTTGTGTTTTAAAAAGTCTGTCGGACTCGGTAAACGCCTTCCGACGCATAATGAAACTCTTGTATTTAGCTGCGTTTAGAGAAATGCGTTCCGACGGCAGCTAAACAAAACGTGGCTACGGCCACAGACGAGTGCAGCACGCACACGAGCAACAACCGTGTAATTTCGCCACCTCCCACCGTAATCGAATCAATGCTATTTAAATGATCATCTCGGGGTGCGGTCATTACACGTGAATCTTTGAAATTACACACCAGTGTAAATGTCTTTGGAATTATCCGTAAAAACTGTGGAAATTATCCGACGATAAGTGTAACGTAATCGACGATCATTTTTTATTTCTCGTTTCGTTGTTATACCTTGTACGATTTGAACATTTTTGGGACACGACTTACATATATAAATCCGGTACGATAGAATCGTCATAACTATTTTTTATCACCTTGAAGGTTAATCGATACGCATAAACGTTGACAGATATTTTTCCCCTTACACGACAAACTCTTAATTTGATCACTCTCGTTCGGCCGGGCGACCTTGTGCGTTTTTTCCCGTCTATAATTATCGGAGATAAATATTTTTTTTGCCCGTCGACGTGAGATTTGTCATGATGTGAAGGTCGTTTTTTCCGATACGATCCGGACGTTCGACGTTTTCTTATTAGGCGTTTCCTGATCGTGCAGCACAAACGCCTCCGCGTGATTATTAACGTCAGTTATTAATTGTCAAGCCGATGGCGGCGACGTTTGGTTTACACGTAAAATGATGTCGTGATTGCCATCGTGACGACAACATTGTAATCAGTGATGATGTCAACCTATTTCTCTACCATTGACACTTTTGACGAGCGGCCTATGTATGAAAATACTCTGCGAAAGGTATTGGCTTTGTGTCGTGTAGGCTAATCTGCATAAAAGGAAACCAAAACTAACGTGTTTATTTTCCACTCTTTTTAATAAATGCAATAACGTCAGAACAAATCCCCGAAGCACGTGCGGATACATGAATTTGATTGTTTGATTTTCGGATTAACTCATCTTTCTAAACGCACTACATTATTTAATGAAATCGAGAGTGCGTTGTGTACCAAACAAGTATGTTTGCGCCGATGTCTAAACATGTGCGGCAAGAATAATTAAAAAAAAATAGTTTTTTGGTAGAGCATGCGAATTATCCGAACGTTGCAAAGTTCGGCCGGCCTCAGCTAAGGGTTTTTTGTTGTTTTTTCGCCGAACAGAAGAGACGGGGTTAACCGGATAGAGGGTACCACCTCCGCAGCAGCAATGTCCCCCTTGTTGGCCAATTAGAATCAGTTGTCAGCGGGGTTCAGTTTTTTCTTTTGTTGATTTTTCGAAAAAGGGGTTAAAAGGACCGGGCTTACGTTGCGTACAATAACGATGTGATATTTAATTTTTTGTTCGCCCCTACCCCGTTCAGCAGCAACGGCAGCACATTTCCGATATTAGCATTTTCGGAAGAATTTTACGCTTGGCCGATGAACGTCCGTAAATACACGTAGAAAAAAAAACAGGGCCAAGCAGCTGATGCTGGTAAAAAGGGTGCACGTTTTTTTTTTTTTTTATTCGCCAACGAATGACGCCCACTCTTACTTTTCACGTTATTCATCCGACGTGGGTCCTTAGAGTGATTCGTTATTCCTCAGCCGACTGTACACGAACATAATTAAAGAGAGAGTGTACATAATGCACTGGAGTACACGTAAATGTATATTCATAAATATTATAATATAGTCGTCTTACTATGCCGTAGCGGAAACGACGCGCTCTCGGTGCAACGGGTGAGCGATATCGATTACGGTTGGCGGGTGGGACGGAGGGGCTTAAGACGCGGTGACGGCGCTGTCTTTTCACTAATAATTGAGGGCCCCCTTTTGTGTGTACATTTATGCGTGTATATATATAAACGGGACGGTCGCGCACTTGTACAGCAGCATCAATTACACACCCTATCCGCCGCGGCCGGGACAAGACTCTCGTATCTCGTGAGATACGTATCTGTGTATTTTCGAGCGGCAGCGGCGTCCCGCCAATCCCTTCTCGTTAATAAATATTCATGAAAGAGTAAAGCCGGGGAAGAGAACCGTTAATTAGTTTCCTAGGTAACAGATTGCTGCCGAGACGTTTCAGCCCTTCCCACTGTCATTTTCGCTAGAACCGTGTATTTCAATATAAACACACACACACACACACCGTCGTCTCGGATGAATCGCTCGAACATTGGTCTGTTCCAGATTACACCCAACATGCAAACACACACACACACACAACACACATACATTACAAAATAATTAAGCCACGAACGAGTGTGTTGTGTGTGTACATTCGCACGCTAAGTGGTTTTTGCCAAAATGGCGGTTGCTCGCGTTTATCATAAAATGTATTTATTACGTGTGCCAGCGGTTATTATTTGGTTTGTCCGCGAGGTCTTGACGAAATAGTGTTGGGCATACACACACAGATGCGTGTGATACGGGAACCGGTTGTCACTGATTACACTGTACCGCTCGATGGTCGCGGCCGAGCTCCGACTTGAGCGGTATACGCAGTGAGTGTGCATATCTGATGGCGTGTAGAAATGAAAAAAGTGCACGGCTTGTATGACATGTAATAATAAGCCGACTCCAAGACACTCTCCTCGGGGTACGGTCGACCTTAAGGCGCCCGAGTATCGCGTCATTGCGCGCAGATCTTTTTAGACTGAGCGAATAGACAATAAATTTCACGGCGGCAACAGACGAAAAGAGATAATTATTATTTTTTCACAATATGACACGTTTGTGCTTCGACTCATTCATCGCCGACTCTATAATTTTATAATATCTGTCCTTTCATAATAAACGATATGCTATCACAGTAATTGGAAAGGATTCAAGGATCCGTAGAGGGCTACCCGGTGATTAAAAATCAATTAAACTTTAAACAAACAATTTAATAAATATGGTACGCGATAAAGGACAGTAATAATGACGAGTTTAGCCGAACAACATCGGTGTATAGAAATAACAAAGTGGTTTGCCGTCGAAAACGCCCAGTTTTTTTTTTTACACTTATTAACTTTATGAGCGATTATCGAAATGTACAACTCGCATTAAAGTTCCAACGCTTCCTCCTAGAGATTTATTGAAATTGGTCTACAGTGTTTAAAATTTAATTAGATTTTTTCGAGAAAACAAACGAATAGATTATTAATTTGTCGAGTCGTCGTCGTTAGCTATAAACGCGTTTACGATAATGTGTCCTCAATGTCGTTGGGTTTTTAGAGATTTTGTCGTCCGGGTGACCTTAATCCGGCCGAACCTACCGGATCATAATTTATGCTAATACGCTATTAATTCCGCTTCATATTGACGCAGCTTTTTCATTATTATTCTTACTTGGGCTCGTACACCGTCGCGTAGCTTTAATTAGCCTCGAGATAGCCAATGTATCGTATTAAATTACCAATAACGAAACGAATATTGCGCAATCAAAATATTTTTATTCGGAAAATAAAAATATTGACTACCGACAAATATTTATTTTTACAAGGCAAAAGTTTTATTTGTCAATGTTTTCGAGAATGATTTTGTTCACTAACGTTTTATTAAATTTAATTACACGCAACACATTTTTAACATCAAGGTTACAATTGCTGCGGCTCGCTATTATTTTGATATGAAAATAACATTTTGCGGTGCCGAATAAATTATGGTTATCGCATTGCCGCGAAAAAAAAAACGATGCTCTTCTGTGTAATTTCGTTATTCGATAACAAAATTATCATTTCCAAACAATTGTGTAAATGGTCCCTGGAAGTTTTATTTGACGGGACGGAGGGAGTCGACAAACACACGTCGTAATGAATGATTTGTGTGTGTGTGCACTCGTTATGGTCGTATGATACGACGACGATTATATTATTGCGTTGTTGTGGTGTTGGACGGGAGGGATTGGAACGATTGGCGGCGTCGTCGCTGCCGCCGCGGTTTTCTCGCTCATTAGTTCGATCACGCATCTGTAAACATTTTTTCCCGACCGTCAGCAGATATTGACGGTTTGTTGGTGTGTTGTGCGCCGTTGGCCCGGCCGCTCTGTCAGGAAGCTTTTAGCCAGATGAACTTCGGCCTACACATGTGTACTTTGTGCGTTACCTCACCCCGCGCGCGCTTTGTTCGTACACGTACTACGTACACGGATGGATGACCTCCGCCGTGTGCATGTGGCCCGCACCAACATCTATACACGTTGAGTCGATACATAGACGAGACTTGTGTACATATATCCGCGTGTTTGTGTACCGGTCGTGTGTGGATTTCGACCACGCCGCCCTTGCGGCCGCCCAACGAAAACGCGTTGGTACCGCCATGTGGCCGCTACCGCGCATACTTTATGTGATGTCGTAAAACCGCAATTTCGATATACCGAAAATAGAACGAAAAATCAATTGGACGGACCAGATCCGTTTCGGAGCCCAATGTGTTTTTTAGAACTGCAACCGTTCTGGACGACGGCCAACCGCACTGACGACTGCGCGTAATCGCTCGATAGTGTTGTCCATGTTTTCGTCGTCGCGCACATTAAACAATCGCAACGCTAAATCAAATGTTTTTTAGACCAGGCGAAAAGTCACGCGATACACTTTACCCTCCGCAAGACAATCGGTCGTTTAACTGTTACGGTTAACAATTTTTCGCGTGCCGGACACATTTTTTTTCATATTTTTTACGCTGTCATTATTCTCTCCTCACTCGAGGGCTGTGATGGCAACCGCTACGGCTTGACCTTTCGGGCCCCTTGGACACGCGACATTTTACCTTCTTCGGCCGACCGGATTTCATTTTTCCACTTTTATTACACTACTGCCCGTTTTTACGGAGTTTCTTTGTGACTCGTCTCAAGAGAACGATGCACAATGACGTATATCTAAACGATTGGACAACAGCCCGTTAATAGCACATAAAAATCCTATTAAAACAACCGAGTCGATATCCTCGTATGCCGCACACACGTGTAGATGACCACAAAATTTGTAATTGCCGCCGCTGTCGGCTATTATTCTGAATTTATTGTCAAGTGTAACCTCAGCCGCGTCGGTAGATACACTCGAAACTCTGTCGCTAAAGATAATCTCCGTTATGTAAATATACGACTGATGGGAGTCGTAAACACACAGAAATAACCGGATGTTATCACTCGGATTACGTAGATGACAATTGAACGTACGTCGACGTTTACGTTAACACAAATATCACACGGCGTGCAAAGTGATACATTGTTATAATAACGTGCGGGATTGTGAAAAAATAAAAAATTGAACGACCGAACTCGTCCCGTTTTTATTCGCAAAATTAATGTTGTTGTTCGGGTTATTTTTAATATACGGAGTCGTATAATTTTAATTGCCGGCAGATTTTTTTAGCGAGCGATTACACCACACCGATGTCATTGTGTTAAATATAACGTAGACTTTTAATGTTTGTAAAATTATTGACGGGGGGGGGGGCGTTGGTGGAGAAAACGTGTGACAATGACGTCGAGTGGGAAATGTCTATGGCGTTTAAAAGAACATTCCGATCGATTCGTTGGCGGCATAATTTATGTAGAATCGTTTACTAAGTCATTGTGTTATTAAAAAAAAAAAGTAATTTAACGTGTTTTGTGTTTTTCCAGTGGGCTTCAGTAGCGTCGTGGTTCCTGCGTCCGGAGATGGCCGGAGCCAGCGTGCCGCCGATAGTACCACAACCACCGCCCATGCCCATCCGACCTTCTCGGTCATCTTCAGACCCTCCGCAAATGGCCATGCCGCCCACCATATGTACCGTAAGTATGAGAATGCAAACATTAAAAGAAACAACTCGAGTGTGCCGAGCATTACCAAACATTGGATTTGATCACAACCTAGTAATTATCGGCAGACGGGTAATTTTTAAAACGCCATTGCCGCCGCCGCCACGAGTGCGACGGAAATAACGTGGAAACTTTCGTGTGCGATTAAAATGATTGTATAAAAAAAAAAAACGGTTTGAATAAAAGTATTGCGCGGTGCCGTCTGGAAATTCAATCTGCCGCGTTTCGTGTGCGACGCGTGTAGAGCACCGTAATGATAGTCGACCGTAAAATATTATTGTATCGTAAACATCAAATTGGATGAGCTACACAAAAGCGGAGCTCTCTCGAAACTCGATCTATTAGTGAAACGTCTCGGCATATATTATTCCGTCGTTATCATTATTTTATACGGCCGCGCATAATGAAATGGCCGTTTTGAAATCGGGCCCATCCATCAATGGTGCGGCGGCCGACGGATTTGCATTTGAAGTGAAGATAGACTGATGTGTATACACCGGCGGCCGCCCGTACACTTAAACCCATCGATCTGACTACTGCGCCATTGACAGCTCTTCTTCTCGAGCAGCGTAGTACTTAACGCACACGAAAACACTTGGAATGTTCTCGATTCGTAATCGCCTACGACTTTCGCTCAGCGCCGCCATACTGTTGGGGAAAAAACGCTCGCCGATATTTTTGCGCGTTCCCGTATGCGTTGCGGTGGTGCGCCGCGAGTCTCGATGAATAGTCGACCGCCGTGCAGCGGAGCGCGTCTCGTTATTTGCTATCGATGGCATTTTCATTTTTTACAATTATTGTTTGATTCCGCGTGGCCTCGAAAGCGACAACGTTAATAATAATAACCACCAGACACAACGACGCCCTATTGACTGACGAGTGGCTGTTTTCCTTGTTCATGTGACCGTTTTAATGGCCCGTGACAGGCGTCGCGCCCGATCGACTCGATCAATTTCAATTACAACCGGCAGCGTCGCGACGTCGTGCCTAGCACCGGAACATTTAGCGTTACTCGAATGGGGGACGACGACGACGTCTGAGTGTGTTGGATTGACAAGAGTGTAGCCGATTTTTCTACGGGGACACGTCATAATAATAGACTCGCGGGCGTTTAAGTGTGCGCCGCCATTGTATTGTTATAATTAATAGTTTATAAACGGTGTCGCGGCGGCGTGTTCCTGTCGACGGACTGCGTGCAAAGGTAGCCGCGGTGCCTCGAGGTCGTCCGGGTAATTTACGCGTTTTGCGAAACGCTCGCAAGTTTTGGGAGTAAAAGACTGCCAAACGTTGTCGCCGGTGAAAGGGAACGCGTCTCGACCGTGTTCTCGTCGAGAAATGTTTTGCGGCGTTTGCCATTTAAATGCGCGCACATCGCATAGCTGCCACTAAACAGTGTTTACCGCTGTTGTTGTAATAAGCAGCGGCAGTAGTAATAATAATTGATTTTCGGTTGGATTGAAATTATTGGCCGTACGCGACACAGCCGTCCTTGGTCACTGGACGCAGCGGCCTTGCGGTCGTTTCATCGAATTCGTGTAAAGGACAGGACAACCCTCGTGACGTGTAAAAAACGGCTGTGTACCAATTATCGGCGTGTACACGAACAAGGCGCGCACACACACACACGATTTCGATTCCCAATTATTGCGGTTACTTTATAATACATTATTTTTTTTTTTTTTCCATTTACCTTGCAACGTCGTCCCGATGGCATACACACTGCTGGCATACGTGTTTACTGCGGCGATGGGTGTGTAATACATACGAAATTGACATTATGACATCGTGTGAGTGAGTGTATACGTGGGCATGCCAATGACAGTAACAATTTTGAGTGGACCGGCATCGCATTGTGATTAGGTACACGCCGGTAGGCCTGTGGGCGGTTTACGGGGCCCCTCGGACCGGTTCGACTACGGTGCTCGCATGTTATTAGCCCGTGGTGGCTGCGATACGAGGACATCGATCGGTTAGTGCCGTGTTATTATGGAGATGAGATGTGCGACCGCCGTAGCGCATAAAAGGTACGTGACTGTCATCTCGGCACTGATTACAGGGTCTGTCACTAGACTCGATTATTGCCGTACACGACGGCTTTCGTAAAACACCCGGGGACCATTCGAGTAATATACGAAAAAAAAAAAAAAATACTACCTATCTACACCACGAAACACCTGCAACCAATTCCGTATGGATAATAACGTTTCTGTGGCCCGCGGTCGAGATCATTATCTTTGGACGGCTCTCGACTAAAACCTGCCGCAGAAATCGGTTCCCCCCTCCCCTCACCACTACACATTAACTCCGCGCGTAATATGCACACCCCTTTTCGTGAACGTCTCTCTCCGCGCGGTGTTCCTTTCGGCCGTCCGGTCAGCCTGCTCGAATACTGTCGGCACTACAAAGTTTGCGCGCATTAGGACCTTTATCGGCTCTCCCTTTGTATGCTCTATTGCATATATTCGCATTAACCGCCGTACCATTGCCGTAACATTCCATCAACGCTGTCCCGACCCTCCTCTAGAGTTGACCGTACATATTCATTTTATAACATGTACTTGTGCGTTATAACGAGTGCGCGTTTCAACTATGCGGTGCGCCCTTTTCCGGCGTCCTATGGCGGAGCTGCACCACCGAAGGGATTATGAACCCCCCGCGCTCAACGTTGGACGACGGCGGCCACATGATGGCGACCGTCGTACACGTGGAAAAGGGTTCGGCTTTAATTCCATCCGGTCCCTGTTGACAGGTCAATACGCCTTTGTGTGCCCCCTACCCTCGCTCCGTAATCGTGAACGCCGTCCATCTTGCATCATTCCGATTGCCAACCCTCCCCTCACGCACCTTTAATCGTACGTAGTACAACGTGTATTTAATGCACAAGTTGACCCGACCGAGCAAGAGGGTTTACCCTTTAACGTGTTTTTGTCGATTTTTCCAATTCTCCGGTCGGTGTTGATTAAGTTTTGCGGAATATTCTTCTCTCATACCGTAACCATGTTATAAGTGCGGTTAACCATACGCATATGACTTGCGAACATGTGCAATTCTTTATTTGACTGTATGTAATTAATATGGCGAGGTAATAATTAGTTCGATGTACCTTAAATGTAGCCGTGCGGAGGCCGCCGAGTAGATAGATGCATGAAAATGGTTGCGTTAAAAAATATCGTATAACATGTCATAGACTTGACACGGTCAGTTTATGATTTTTTTCTTTTCCGGTTTCTTGAATTTATACGATCACGACTTGTCCTTGATCATCAGAGTCGTAAAAATATATCAGCGAGAACACAAACTATGTAACTACACGATGAAAAAACCCACTGGGATCATTTAATAGAGTGTATCAATCACTATAAAAATATTGACAACGTCATGGAACGATGATAAAATTGTCGAATGTACATCTAACACTATTAAATATAGCCATTTTTTGATATTAACATTGTTTCCATTTTATACATTAAAAATTCAGAATTAGACTATGAATCTAGTAATTCTTTGAATTTCTAACTTAATAATCAATCTTCTCGTTAGGTTAACGCACAATCTTGATCTACACCGTAACAGCGAATGGAATTTTATAGGCACCGATTATATTATTTAGATTGGTCGCAGATTGTTTTTTTATAAAAATGCATACATAGGTAGTGTATAAAAGGCTGAATTCGGGTTGGTACAAACAAACCGCAGTATAGTGAAAACAGATGTAAAATAAACAAGACACGAGTAAAATGTTTAATATTTTTATATTAAAAAAAACCGTTGACGATAGGTAAACTTGACAACAATTGAGATAAGGGTGTTGTATACCATTTGGGCTGTTAGAGACGACTTAACTTATTATGCACTCGAGTCATGCATGAATCAAATAATTGCAAAATACTGCAAACAGTCGTCGTGGGAATGTCTGTAGGTATACTCTTCAAAAACATTCAAAGACACTGTTGTTGGATTCAGTGAAGATCCAACGTCTTTTTATAGTAGGCCTCAAGTACCACCGGTTAGTGCGTGTAGGTACGAGAATTTTCAAGTAATGAATTACCCAACGAGGTTCGATGATACACATAATAAAATACACAGACGTATTATTACATATAGTGCGGCATACATGTAATATTAATTATGCCGAGTTTTGTGTGAGTTTCGGTCACGCAATGTGAAATAACTTTTTTAGGTGTGTGCCGGACGACCAGCGAGACTCGTTGTGTATAATATTGGACACATTAATATAACAATGTGTATGTGATACCGAAAATTATTATTATGCGTTTCGGCGTTACACACGCGGCGTTGATGCCGTGAGAAAACCACGAAAACAATCACAAATCAATCCTACACTTATCATATAAAACACACGCGCCCGTACTTGGAAAATAATTGACGATATGGACTTAAAAAACACGACAAGCAACTTCCAAAAACCGCAGGGACGCGCCCGCCGGTTAATTCGCCTCGTCTTTATACGACCGAAATCGTTTGTTTGTGTTAATCGTGAAAATATCGTCCAACGTTATGAACTGATTCTAATCGGCCGATCTGTATGAACGGTCCGCGTTCAAAATAAGAACTGTCATCTCAAAATGAGCATACGTTGAGTTTTTCTTTCTTGTTAATATTCAATATCAGAAGCGCTCGATTCCCATTGCCGGCTGATGAGCTCTGCCAAATACAAAATACTTCCTTTTTAAGGTACTCCACCTGATGTTAGGCGTTATTGACCCCCGTGAAAAACAAAACGAGGAATACTCTGTCCGTTGTATTCGGTAGCGTTGTCGTGCACTGGCCCTCCATCTCGACCGTGTTATCGGCACCGACCGTTTTGTAACAACCCGCAAACAGCAACCCCCCCCCCTATGACCGCCGTACACATACAAACACACCGCAATGCGTATTCGGTGTCGTGTTGACGTGTAGTACACGAAAATCGCGTGGTGCTTATTGCACTGCGGCAGTTAACGCCTACACGA